AGCGTTGGCTGCGCGTGCGTTAGATGCTACGTGCAGCTAGCTCCATGTGCTTGGGGTGCTTAGAGAACGCAGCTATATGCTCCTTGGCTGCCCTCGCTCTCTCATGCCGGAGTCATGAGGCGTGATGGCATGCAGGGCGCGGAATTTTCATGTAAGGCGAGTCATGATCTCAGCTCGAGATCCCAGTAAAAGCGTTTCTGGCCCAAGGGATACATGGACACATTGGGTAAATAACCACTATAATGGGCCAAGATCGGCTTCGTCTGTTTTTTCAATCGTAGCTACGCTTATGTAAAATAGTTAAGCATCGAATTTTTTGTATTGCTATGTGCAACTCAAATTGAATGCTCGGAGGGCTCAGGCAAAACAACAGTCAGGAGCCATGCTGGGCTTTACCACTTTACACCAGAACACGATGGGGTCAGTGCAATGCGAAGGTTATTTTTTGTAGGACTGCACTTTTGATTGGGTGTTTTATTAGGGTTTTGTGGCTGGATCTATCCTTATGCAAATAGTAGGAACAAAGGTGTACGTAACATGCAGTAGCCAATACAGCGGGAATCTTGTATACTGTTGCCATTCAACCAAGAATGATGCAGCTATCCTTCGTTAGACTTACAAGAACACATGCAGGCATATGGCATAAACACAGCTGGATATCTACTGGTGCAACAAAGTCCACAAGCACACGTGGAAACTAGGAAATCCGCGAAGAGAGCATGTAGGCAAGCACAAGCGATCATCGTGAGCACAACGAAAGCAGATAACTGCAAACCATAGAGGTGAAGCGACTAGCAAACCTGTTGCACACCTTAAATGTACGAGGGCGCATATTAAGGCACAGAATGCAACGAGGGAGGCTGAGAAGTGTATTTGTTGCCTTCTGATCTTCATTTACGTAGAGATTCCAGTCACGCCAGTATCAATAAAAGACCTAATGTGATCAACAACATATTTTGAATGTTTGCAGAAGCGCACATTACCTTGAGGTGTTGGCACGCATATACACACAAGTGGCACTAGATGAAGTCGTTGGGCCCAAAACGAGCTCGGCGTTACTGACCTTCTACTTGACCCGCAGCCTCTAGAACACAACACATAGCAGGAGCCCACCCTTGAACTAAGGGACAAGGCAGGCAGCGCAACAGCCCATTAGAGAAACTGGACTTTCGTTCTTCTGCTTGCTATTCCTACCAGTTTAATCATACACCTTGAACGGAAAGCCTGAGGTATTTATCTCTCTATTAACCAAATAAAACACAAAACTGTAGACGCTAGAAAACAACAGAGCAGTAAATTGTGCAACCGATATAGTTCTCTTGTGTAAGTGGGAGAGGATGGAAAAGCCTTAGGAGATATTCTTACTGGTTTTTGCCGTTGGCCCTCCAGGCACCTAGTCTCCCGTGCTGAGAATGGTCCTTGTTTGTTTATTTGGCTTAGCAGATAAAGTGACAAGGGCCTTCACAATGACACTGAATTGGCAGCAGTATGCCTACTCTGCATACCCATTTGTTTCTGGCTGACATTGGTTCTCACGTATAATATCGCCCAAAATGCACATACGTAAGCAGCAAAAATTATTAATGAATCATGGTGTTACTAGGAATCTCTCCCACGGAACAGAGCGCTTTCGGATACTGGGTCTATTGCAAGCCATTGCACCATGGCTGCGAAAGTCGTTACGGAAAAGGATTCCACAGAAGGATAAACTGAACTCTTAGCTAATTATATACTTTCAGAAAAACAACCTCTGGTCATTGTAGTACTTGGTCATACTTACAGCTAGCAGATGCTCATCGTAAAAGGCCCATGTAGGAGAGCCAAATTTGAAGAATTCCCCTCACAATCACAACGGACAGAGCTCCACTGTGCAAAAGGAGCTGTGTGGGCTTAGCTTTCAAAAAGCTTGCGGTCTAACTCTTCATTGCTGAAATGATTGCCAATTAAATAAATGCGAGAGCGTGCTTTTTTTGTTGCGCAGATATGATATCATAGGAATGTTAGGAGCATACAGATGTTCTAGAATATCCTACTCATCCCCATGTGTGTACAGTGCTTTTAAGTTGAATGTATATGTTTAATCTCGCCTACATGCTCACTTGTAGCTGGAATGCTTCACCCCGCCCACAGCACGAGAGGGATGCCTGGTCACCAATACTAGCAAGCAGCCATCTTCAAGTCTGTGCTGGTTATTCAATGAGGTGGATAAGCACTTTCCACCACTCAAACATGCATCAGCTCAGCGCAGAGAGCAGCTTTGCCGACTGCTGACAATTCATGCCTGACCCAAAAAGTATGTGTAAGGAACGGCGCAGCACTTGCCTTGACCTTAAATAGGTATGAACATTACAACAGCATCGCTCTCCTCTGTTCCATTTAGGGAATTCGAAAGCCGCCTCGCCCACAATCAGTCATCCTCCTTGACTTTTTAGAGGCCTCTGCACGCAATCCTAAGCTATGGCTGTGGGCCTTTAGACGCGATTTAAATATGGACGGGACACCTTGCCCAATGACTTGCAGAGGTGTGATATCCTAGTGTGGCCGGAACACTGAGGGTATCGAATAGCTAGTGTATAAGACAAAACCACGTAGTCGCCGACAGCATCCCTAGATTCTACCCGAAAGAAGTGACTTGTGCCAACAAATCTTAATTTCTTTTCAGTGTAATGCATCCAATAGCTGAGAGCTTTTAATGTGTGCTAGCGCATGCTACGATTCACCGTTGGGGCCCTATGCTTTGAATGCTTCAGACGAAGTGTAGCCTTATGCCATGCGTCCACCATTCGCCCAGGAGATCCATGACGAAACATTTTAAATCCCAGGTGCTTAGTACAATTGTCTCACCTTTCATCTGAGCTGAACACTTCTACGCTCCGTACACTTATTGCGATTGCATTGGACTCTTCGTAGGGCCCTGCATGCCGCAACATGCCGACGCTTATTCTTCTTTTACTCACCAGCTAGGATTCTACTTGAAATCAGGCTAGGCTAGCTGGGTAGCGCAGGTGCCAGTCTACCTGCTGCAGATTAACATAGCCGTTACCTAACAACCTTCCGTGCCTAGGTGCATGCATACATTTTAGTCCCTAGCCCCTAGAGGTCCATTCCGTAGAGCTAATGACTTACGCAAGAAGTGCCTTAAACGCCATGACTGCAGCATCTCTAAGATAAAATTCTCAACAGCTCAGGCTCAATCCACAACCGATAACGAAATTGGCTGAAATCTCTTAACAAAAGCACCACAAAAACACTCTAAGCGCTGCACGCCAAGCGCCTAATCCTAGCCTTCGGTAAAGGGTATAACCTAGCAGCATATCAGGTCGGAGCTTTCGGTGTGCCCGGTTTTGGCGCCGTCCATCACTCACTTCTAGACATAACCCATATCGCTATATCGTAATTGCGATTTCACGGCTCATGCAGCCCAGATGCATGGAGGATCTGCTGTGTGCATGAGCCTCTTTAGCATCAGCCACCGCCCCTTCGGGTTCTGCCATATCTTTCTGCAGGGCTGGGCCTCCAGGGCTTGGGCTGGGTGGGAGGGGCTATCCCATGTCTCGAGATCTGCCCTCTGTGTTCCGGTCGAATGCCTCCGGTAGCTACTGAGGAGGCCCTCTGCAGCTCAGCGTATGCAGGCGTTTCCTTAAAGGCCTCCATCTCCATCTCCAAGGATGCAGCCTGGCGCTCCCTGCAAGCTCAATGCGCAGGCAGAAATTACAGCCACTTGAGCTGCCATCCTAAGACCGCCGCAGTGGGCCTTAAACAGGGCATCGCATAGCAGTAGTGCCCTCCTACCGCATGTCTCAAGCCGGATACAAGGGCCTAGACTACAAAGCCTCTTTAGGGCAACGGCGAAAACAACGGCAGCTCCTGATTACGGATTTCCTGGCAGTTTGTGCATCTTAACAGGTGCAGCTACTCACAAGGATAGACATGAATGCCACGTACCTGGCTTCACGCAGACGCTGGCGACGCGCTTCAGCCTCTTCCTTCTCGCGGCGATGTCCCCAGGCCACAGTTACTCTGCAAGATACCAAATATAACCAACAAAAACGACGATACAGGATGCACTGGAGCCCACAGTTCTCGGATAGCCATAAGGTGAGGAATCAAAGATGTCAGAAGCATCAGCCGCTAATTTACACACCTGTACAGAAGGAAGAGGATCACTCCTAGAAGAAGGGCCCCTGCAATGCTCCAAAAGTTTGCGCCGCTCAAAAGATCCCCATCTTGATTGTCGAATGAAGTTTTCCCAAAGGGATCCTCATCCCAGTCCATCGGGCTGTCATCTTCGCTATTCATTGAGCCCTACGTGTAGCAGAGTTCATTGAGACAGCCATTGAATGGCGAAAGAGCCAGTGGCAGTTGCACCAGCGGATTGCAAGGTGCCTGTGCACTGTGTACTAAAGATGCTCAATGATGGGATTAAACAACACAGCAGTGGATATGCGTGGCAGGACAAAGGCACACAGCCACACTGTAACTGACAAGCAGCGATGGGTCATAACGAAGAGGCTGCCGAGATGGTCCAGCTAGTCGAACGCTAGACGCACGCGCACAAATTTCTAAGTGAGAAATGAAGAAGAGTATTCATTGGAAAACGTTTGAATAGCGATGCTCCGATACTGTTGTCACCGTTGCAGGGGCTGCTGCATGCGCCTCCTCAGCGACAGGACCTACAGAAGCAGCCGCAACCGCAGCCGCGACAGCAAGTAATGCCACTGTGGCAAGGGTTTACTCTATATTTAAAGTGTGGACAAGATCCACGGCGTCTGGACTGCTCTGGTTCCCTCCTTACACCCTCGGAACTCTTTGAGCCCCAACCCCCAAAGCGTGTATGCGGATATCGGCTCTCCGAGGTACGGCAGGCCAAACCACTTGGGGGCCGCTGGTCTCTGGAGACTAATTGGACGAAGAAGAGTGGCAAGGGAGAGAAAGTAGGAAAGCTAGCACTAGCGCGCTTCAAAGCAGCAAGAAGAAACCCCAACGGAAAAAATTGGCAAATGTCCCGCCGGCGAGCGGCCCCCAATGGGGCGGATGGGGCCGAGGACTTTAGGGAGCGCGAGCCCAAAGATATCCCGAGCAGCAGCAGTAGCAGTAGTAGTAGCAGCAGCAACAACAGGGGTGTCGGGCGCAGTTCTGACAAAAAGTCTGCTGGCCCCAACAGCAGTAGCACGAACAGCGGTAGTGGTAGAAACCGCAATTGGGATGAGTTAGGGGACTGGCAGCAACAGCACCGGCGGCGCAGCAGAAGTGACAGCAGAGGAGGGGACAGAGAGCGGCGTCCAAGAGAGAACGTGGATAAGGATCGATATAGGGAAAGGGACAGAGATAGAGAGCGAGAAAGGCACAGAGAGAGGGACCGAGAGAGAGAGCGAGAAAGGGATAGGGATAGAGATCGGGACAGGGAGAGGGACAGAGATAGAGACAGGGAGAGGGACAGAGATAGGGACCGGTCTCGTCGGCGGGATCGGTCTCGTGAGAGTGAGTGGGAGAGGTCTAGAGACAGAGACACGGAGAGCCGCAGCAGTAGGAAGAGGGAAGAGATCCTTAGTTGTACGGCTGTTATTCGAGGGCTACCAGAGGGGGTGACGGAGGAGGAGACGGAGGAGCACGTAAGGGCCTTAGCCATTGATAAGCGATTCTCGACGCCAGATGCTGTCCGCCTGCAGATGTTGAGTGTACTTGCACTCAACGCTCTTTGCCCCACCGGAGCTAGGCTTTCGCTGGATATGGTCCAGCAGCTGCTGCCTTCAGCAGGAACCACAGGCGGGAAGCATCAGGAGCAGCACGGGGAGAAGGAACAACAATTGTTGGTTGCCTTTGTGGACTTCCCGTCGACTGATGCAGCTCAAAAATTTCTGAAGAGCTGCAAGGGAGAGGTGTGCGGTATCAGAGGCAGACTCTGTCCCGTGACTGTGCTTTTACAGCAGCCGCAACAGGGGAGAGCAGCAGCCACCGAAGCTGCTGAAGCTTCACCTCCAGCAGATTGGATATGCAGCACGTGCGCAGCTCCCAATACCCGCAGCAGCGGTAGTATCAGCATGGCCTGCGTGTCATGTGGGGCCCTGGCCCCTGGAGGAGCATCCGAGAAACAGGAGACAGAAGGAGGATGGGGGGGGGAGGGCACTAGGAATCCGTCTTCGCTTGTTGTTGTCTCTGACTTGCTGCTTATCGAGTGGGAAGACCTACTGCGCTCGCTCAGGCGGAAGCTGCGGCGCCGCAGCAGTAGCAGCAGTAGCAGCGGACAACAAACCGAATTTCAGAGCACTGTGCACGTAAAAGACGCCCCGGGGACCCTCAGACCAGCCGCGTTTGGGATTTTGAAGTTTGCATGTACAGACGCAGCTAAAAGCGCATGGAGAGCCTTGCGCTCCCTTCGAGGATTAGATGTGGGGGGTCATTTGTGCGGCGTGAGGCCTTGGATAATGAGTAAAGAGGAAGAGAAAAGCTGGAGGGAGATGCTCATTGTCGCTGCTGCTGCTGCAGCTACGGCAAAGGCAAACTCAAACAGCAGCAAGAGCGGCAAAAACAGCAACGAACAGGTCTTCAATCTACAAGAAATGCGCGAAGTAGCAAGTTAGTCCTTCTGTTGTTGTTGCCGGTCTTGCTGCCACTGCTCTTGAGGGTGCTTTTGCAATTGCTGGTTCTACGATAGGCAGGAACGATGCTCTTAGCCAGTCACTGCAGCAGTGCCGAGTGGTTTGCTTTGGGCTGCAACCTCTACGTCCCTGCGTACTCACCTACATCTCTAGAATAATGTTCATATGCATATACATACACACATTTGTTTCATATATGACACAAGAGTGCGTGCGAATGTGCAAATGCCTGCTTGTTGACGTGGGTTACTATAGAGCTATTTCACTCTGCTTCTTTGGTCGTGCAGTGACATGGGTAACGCGGGATGTGCTGTTTGTTTCCATGCTGTACGAGCTTGTACTATGGGAGACGTGTGTCATATTTGTTTTTACTGCTTTCAGAGACCTCTTCATCATGGGGCCGTTTGCTGCAGCAATGCGAAGGACAATTGCTTCCACTTCTAGGAAACGAGCCGCCGTCTCTTCCCTCCCGGGACCCGCAAAGCGGATACTTGTTTTCTGCAGCAGCAGATCTCTACTTCGATCCTACTTCGTCGTACTACATGAACTCTGCCGGAGACTACTTTATACACGATACTGCTCTTTCTGCCCTTAGGCGTGTCTGCAATTACAGAGACAGAAAACTAGATGGAGATACAGACACACAGGACCAGCAGCTTCAACAGCAACAGCAACAGCAGCCCACAGCTTCTGTTGTCGCCTCGCTTGTCGCATCCGCGCAGCGCAGCGCGCAGGCCACCAAAGAGGCCATTGAGAAGGCAAAAACTACGGAGAAAAGAGGGCCGCTAGTTGAACCGCCTGCAACCGCAGCGGCTGCAAGTGCTGTCGCTAGTCAGCTTCAACAACACCAACAAAATATCCCTCCTCCGCCTCCTAGGGATCCCGCCGGGGGTGGCTTCTTAGATGGACCGGTGCCGCACATCACAATGCAACAACACTCTCAGCAGACGCAGCAGCAACAGCATACACCTAGGGGTTTCTCTACAGGGCCCCCAGGGGGCTTTGATGTGTCTCATCCACTACCTGGAGGTAGCCGGAACAGCGCTGGGGCCCCCCCTGTGGACGTAAGCGGAGCCTTCTTGCCTCCTGCTACAGCGGCTGCTGCTAGTGCTGCTCCTAGTGTAATTGCCGATGTGGCGAAGGTATTTGAGAGGAATTTGGCAGCAGCAGCAGCAGAAGACCTGAAGACAGCGGCAGCAGGCACTCCCGGGAGCTCACTGCCTGATGCCCTCCCCGCTGCTACTGGAGCCAAGAACAACAACAGCAGCAGTAACAACACGAACAATAACAGTAGTACTGTAAGGTTGACGCCAGCGGAGCCCCCAAAGTATTGCTTTGTGTGTCTTCGCGTATTTAAGACAAAGGCAGAGGTTCATGAGCACGAGCTGAACTCAAAGCTGCACAGGCAGAATGTCTTAATGCTGGAAAAGGGGAAAGAAGAAGAAACGAAATTGCACCTGAAGCAGTTGCAACAGATGCAGCTACTAAGACTCCACCTCAGCTAGTCAGGAAAGCGAAAACTGCTGCTGTAAGAGGAAAGACACAACCAAGCCAATAGGGAAGCTGACTGATCCTATTTTCTTCTCCTTAATGAAGCTGTCGGTCATGCTTTTTTAACTGCTGGAAGATGTTGTTAAACTGGCAAGCTGTCGAACCATAATATGGCTTGGCGCTGCTGGCACATGCAGTTTCGCTGCCTGTGCCCTAGCTTTCTTTTGCTTATGCCCTCAGCGGCAAGAGTACCTCTTTTTCTTTTTAAATCCAACACGCGTTTCACTGGTGTAATACAACCATTTTAGTGGAGGGAGAGACAGTCAGCAGAAAAAGAAGAACGCGGTTGCCCCCACAAGAGTACGCAAGTGTCATCCTAGCAATGAGGGGGGACGAGCCCTCGTACATACTTTTTCATGAGGATTTTAGCTCCTTGACTTCGAGCAGCTCTTTTCGTTTGGATTGTCGACAGTCTTAAATCGATTCGAGGCGTAGCTGTGTTTGCCAGAGAAAAGGGTCACTGGGATCCATAAAAGCCTGTGTCAGTACACCGGGCTGGAAGACGCACGTATCAGGGATGCACAAGGGGCCGCAGGGCCCATTCAGCAGCGCAGTATATTGGGGGTAACAGCCAAACTTGATAGGCCTTTCCCTTTGAAGACCGTGAACGGTCCATACCATGTCGAAAAACTTCACAGCTCCTCTCACATAATCTTCAGTGAACGAATGTTCAAAACTATCCACGGCAGGATGTCGAAGGGAGATTATTGAGTTCTGGCCAGATTGTTGAACTGCTAGATAAGGCATGCGAGTGTTCCCATGCATGTGTCGTCTTGCGATTGCCTTTACTGAACTGCTAAATTTTTACCTTCCGGTACATGTATATACCATTCAAATGATTTGCAGGACAATCGGTGTTAATTCATTCGGCGACTTTGACTGGCAGACAAATAAATTTTACTTGATGTCGGCGACCATCGTGTAACTGCTTGGTGGTGGGATCCAGTACACGCTGATGGAAGGCTTCACAGTAGCAGCATTTGCTGCTCAAAAACATGCGTACACCTGCATTGATGAGCTGCTTGTGCAACTGCCTTTTTGATTCAAGCGTTGTGTGCTTGCTTTTTTAATGTTCAGTTCCGGCTCGTTTCCCTGTTTTATGCAACTGTCGACAAATGCTTCATGTTGTAGGAGTACTTTGAGAATGTATGGCATCCCTCACCAAGTCGTCTGCCATCTGTTTGAAGCTAAGGCCTTGAACTCAGCGGCTTTCATTTCCTTGTGTCCCGTTGGCGTCAATGCAGGATGTCTTTGTCAAATGTAGACAAACTTTCGTGTTAGCATGTAGACGCAAAATGCAACTTCAGTTTGCTGCCCTATCAATATCCACTTACCGTGATGGCACAAGTAAATTGGAGCCTAAGGTTCGTACACCCAACAGTTATCCCATCCACACGCCGTATGAGGTTGCTTTGGCTTTAAGTGGGTAAGATCACCTGGTTACCATCCACGTATACGAACGGCCTAAGAATAGTCTGGTACTGGGATACATTGGTGGCGTCGTGGTACCATGGGAACACCCTGGACTGCTGCCCCTGAAGTGCACATTTTATTGTCAGGGGGGCAAATGTGAATGTTTGGAAACGCCCTTTTTTCATCAAAATAATTATGTATCTGAGATTTTACAGCTTATTCAATATGGCTTGCATGGCACTGGCAATCATTGGTACAATGATAAAAGTTGGGCTTCAATCCTCTGCAAGCACAGAGTTGGCAAGAATCTCTAAGGGCCTATGCCTTCCTAGAGTAATCCACTTCAGGTTTTCCCCAAAGTGCAGCTCATTCGGCCACTCTAGTCACGAGCAAATGCAAGCGATACGTACGGAATGGATGGGTTCAGCACCATAGGTGCTGTTCTCCACGTGCACAGAGTTGGCTAGGTTCGCATTGCCTGATCGGAACAATTTAGACTAGCCAGCAAGAAGTGATAAATCACTAAGTGCTGCTGCATGAAAAGCCTCAGAAACCCAAGAGCACTTTACTATTTCGTTTGTACAGACTTCATAAAGCAAAAAATTATGGTGCACGGTATGTAGGAAACTCTGCAGGTTTATGGGCATGAGCTAATCCAACACCAGCTACGGAGGCAGCAATTGACGGCTTATCTGAACCGCCAGCTATTTCCCAGCCGCAAGGTCTTTATGCATTCTGCAGAGAGCTTTCAGGAATGTGCTAAGCGCAGCGTAGTTCTTTATTGCGTGTAGGTCCTGCTGTAATACTCGGCAATGGGCTGCGACACCAACTTTCTTAAGCATAGCCACCGGTGCACGCTTATAATGCTGTTGCGCTGATCCATTGTGCAATGAGACAGCTTGATATTCGTGAGTCTATTGCTTGTGTGAACATTGGGTTCTGCTTGGACCTCTAATGCTCGTGCAGCTACTGCCTTTGGCAAGAAGGTGATTGGTATTCGGTGAATAGTTCCATCGCTTCGGACAAAATAATGCATTTAGATAGAAAGTGGAAAAATGCAACTCTTATTCATATTGACTGTATCAAATTGTCATTACAAACCATCAGTCATTTTTCGTACTTTTCCACCAGCCTTTAAAATCCTGATAATACTAGCTGAGCCATTTGGTGGCTTGGGCGCCTTCTGCAGCAGGACTTCCAGATCATATCAAGGGTTACACCAAAGTGGCCAACGACGCGGTATCGCGAAGTCCCAGCGGCTGACCATTATGCAAGGCAACCGCGCTTGTCTCTGAGAATTCACGGTGTCTGTCAAAATTGCGTAAGTTAAACACTTTGACATGCATGCATACGCTAGTGTTGCCAGCATCCGGAATGACAATAGGGTGATCCCTAACCACATTGAGGCTGCCACGCTGTGGTCAAGACAGAGTGTAGACTCCGTTGCTTGTACATTTTGACTTCGCTATGCAGTGCCGTTTTGCACGAAGCCAATTATCATGTTATTTTTGATGATAGTGGAAATCTCGCTACAGTGTGAAAGCTTCCACTGTCTTTCTGGTCATTTGCAATGTGTTCCGCGGCAGAGCAACATGCACTGTCATTTCAGGGCTGTCAGCAGCTGATGCCGCGTAGTTCCCCCAAACCCGACCTGCAAGGCTTTCCAGGTCGTGGAACAAGTTGGGATGATTAAACAAGGAACATTGTCTGCCGGAGGTCAATGGTCAGGATAGCATCTAGGTCGTCGTCACCATACCCAGCAGATATGCCGATTTTGTCGTTTGCACGACCTCCATCACGCCTCAGAGCGTTGCTCAATTATTCGCAGCTCACTTCTTAATACTTAAGAGATTATCCCGGAGTATTTCCTCGAATGGGGATCCTAAGCTCGTTTGTGCGTTCTGGCGTGCCTTGATGACGCGCCTATGCATTGACCAAAATATGGGCCCTGCTAACCACTCTGCGGCAGATGGGCAGATAGAGCGCACCAACCTCACGCTACTCTTCAATATTTGCGTCTCTTATTTAAAATGTAAAATTGCTCCCCTCGAACTTCTTTGTTGCACCGAATGTGTTTATCATGCGCCAGTACACTTGTCTGCCCATCGCCCTCTTGCATCGTAAGTTCATGCCAAGGAGCCCTTCTACGATCCAAGCATAAACCTGGCAGTCCGGGGTTAGCAGCTACCCTAAACGGCCTACAGAGTAGGAGAATAGCTAGCTGGTGCAGGCGACTGTATCCTCAAAGCTCGATAGAGACGAACACGGAATAATGATAAGCTGCGTTCGGCTGTGTGTTTCGAGCCCTCAGGATTCGTTGCGAGAGATTCTGTGGCTTTGAAATGTGCAGCAAAAGCTGATAAGGAAAAATAGTTCGCGGCCAGCGGCCTGAAACCAGTTGCAATTCTTTAACGAATCAATGCTCTTCCATATACCGTCGCTTTCTCTAAAAACTGAAAGTGTCCTAGGTATATATATATATATATGTATTGGCTTCCTAAATAGATTGAAAGGTGTCCACGATATTATCGGGCCTTGCCGCGTAGTAAAGTGACTTGTGTGGTAGCGCATAATTCGCGGAAATCCTTAAAGTGATGGATTGGACCGGTAGTGGGCGCTGAGGCCACAGTAGTCAGGAGGCTCTAATGCAATACGTTAGGGAAGGCTGACCTCATTGCTTAAAGCAAGAGCACTTGCATGCTTCATATCTTACGGGCTAATTTGGCTACCAATGCTAGTCGCCATGGACTGTACTCTTGGCGTTCCATGGTAATTGTCATTCCCAACGCATGCTCTGTATGAGCTGGCTAGGTAACTATATGGGCGTTGCCTGTGTGATTATTATTAAGGTGTTATCCATCCTAGGGTGCATTGACGAGCACTTCGAGTTGTGGCCCTCTGCATTCCTCCTTGTACCTCTGTGAGGCTTCGAAATGAGGCTTTAAAAAAGACTAGACTACATGCTCTGGATGTTTTTGGATGCAAGGGCTGCTCACGAACGCGGAAGCCTTGCTGTAATAGAGTGAATTTTGACTTGCTTTGCGCATTGTGCTTGCCTTATGGTAGCAGGAGGCTCACATTTTAGCGCTCCGGCAAGAGCGAGTCATCGTGGCTTTGCGATTGTTTTCGTTTGCTCCCTCATTCGTTGTTGGCAAGTACGTTTGTCTTTCATTCTGTCGACTGCATCTTAGCAGTCAACACACACATGTTCCGTCTTTTCTTGCATGCTTTTTCTGCTTCTGCCTTCCTGGGAAGTGAAGACAGGGCGGAACCTCGTCCATTGTTCTGGATGCAGTTGGTTTTGTCGTACAGGAATTGGCGATAGCGAAGTGGATTCTCAATCGGGAAAAGATGTGACAGACAATGCTAGGCTCAAACACTTCCAACTGCGCTAGTTATGTTGTACATAGAGTTAGTAGCGAACATACCAACTGCGTTTGTCTGTTTGTATATTTTATTTATTGCAGATTATTTGTAGCTCCATTCAAGGAAACGCAATGTTGTGTGCAGATGTGCTAGATGCTACATGTGGCTAGCTATG